CTTCCTTACTTCAACAAAGTATAAATTATATACATCCGAAGACCTTGTGTAAGTGCAAATGCCACTGAGGGTTTTTGGGAGACAGAGGAATGAATATGATAGCCGCAAAAACTACTTGAAGCTGGGTGAGGTAACACATGCCTATAATCCCAGCACTGAGGGAGGCTGAGGCAGGACTGCAATTTTGAGCACAGCCTGGGCAATTTGTCGAGACTCTCAAAATTTAAGGGGGGTGGCAGAATTGGGAATATAGCTCAGTGTGAAGGTCCTGGGTTCAATCCCCCGGTATCATAAATAAAACAATGTAAAACCCAAGTTGGTGCTGAATATTAGACAACTTCCTCAGAAAGCCTGCTTGAGAAATGATATATTGACATGACTTAACAGTTTGTTTCACTAAAGAAATTATGAATAGTAAACAAAAAATAAATAAATGACTAGCCAGATGAGTGAGGTATGTACACCTGCAATCCCAGCTACTTGGGAGGCTAAGACAGGAAGACTGCAAGTCCAACATCAGCTTGGGCAATTTAGTAAGACCCTGTCTCAAAGTAAAATATAATCATCTAGCATGTGTGGGGCCCTGGGTTCAATTCCAGTAGGTCAAAAAACCAAGCCAGGGGCTGGGGATTTAGCTCAGTGGTTCCACTGCCTGCCTTGCAAGTGTAAGGTCCCGAGTTTGATCCCCGGTACAGAAAAAAAAAACCAAAACAAAAAACCAAGCCAAAACAAAACAAAAGAAAACCCCCAAAACCAAAACATCTTATAAACTGATTTTGTTTAAAAAAAATCAGATCCAATTAAAAGTGCTGCAATTACTTTCATCAATCTAACCAAAGGATCCATACCAAGCTATATAATTTCTGTCAATAAGATCCTGTAACTACTTGGGGAATCAGTTATCTAATTAGTGGACTTATTAAAGGCTGATTCCTTGCTGGGTAAGCTCAATATCTCTAGCAGTAAAAGGAAACAGATGCGCTTGTAGATTAACCTACCCAAAACCAAACACTATTCCTAAACAAAACTTGCTACCCAAAGTTTTGTTTCATTCACTGGGCCAAGGGCTCTCCGCTGACTGCACCTTAGAAGCATCAGGGAAGCCTTTAACAAACGTTAATTCTTTGGTCCCATCCCAGAACAATTAAATTTGAGTAAATGGGGGCTGAGGGTAGGTGTATTTTTAAAAGCTCCTCTATTTTCTAATATATTCAAGAAACTGGAAGAAAAATATTTCCTCTGAAATAGAAATTCCACTCCATGTTTTTCAATTTTAAAAGATTATAAAAAATCAAGTGAAAAAAGCAAGTGTCAAAGTGGTGTGATCTCACTGTGATAGAGTACAACTGTTTTTAATATTCTTAGAAAAAGGTTTGAAGATTGTCACCAAAATCAAAACTGTAGAACTCCTGAGTGGTGGAATTAGGGATGAGTTTATTTCCTCTTTTTGTTTCTCTTTTCCAATCCACCTAACAATGAATGTGTATTGCTCATTTAAAAAAAAAAAAAAAAAAGATGCAGCCAGCCAGGCATGGTAGTGCATGCCTGTAATCCCAGCTCTCTGGGAGGCTGCAAGTTTATACTGTATGGTACTAATGTTCAGTTACTGTTCACCAAAATTGATTTCTCAATATACATGTTTATATCAACTGTTGCGCATATTCAGGATCCTCAGAATTTTAAGATAATCACATTAAATTTCACAAGGAAATTGAGGTTCAAGGAATTGAGAAGTTTTTTTAAAAATCTGTTACAGGTACTATATTTTAAAAAACAAGCTGATGTGAGGTGGCACATGCTTATAATCCCAGCACTCTGTAAAACTGATACAGGAGGATCATAAATTTAAGCCCACCCTGGGCAATTTAGCAAGATCCTGTCTCAAAATAAAAAGGCTGGGGGTGTAGCTAGTGCATAAGCCCTGTATTTAATCCCCAGTAACCTCTTACACACATACTGAAATCCTCATCAAAAAGTCTAATTTTCACAAAATATGATTTTTTTGGCAGAGGTGGGGGGGCATGGCTAGGGATTGAACCCAGGATCATTGCATTGAGTTACATCCTCAGTATCCCCCCTTTTTTGAGACAGGGTCTTTCTAAGTCACTAAGTTGCCCAGGGTGGGCTTTTACTTGTGATCCTCCTGCTTCGCCCTCTGAGTGCTGGGATTATAAGGGTACACCACCACACCAGGCCAAATATAATTTTATGCAGTTAAGACAATTTAAGTTAATTCTATTTTTCCATAATATTTAGGACTTTGTTAAAAATGAGAAGACAGTAGTAAAGTTCTCCAGTGCCAAGTTACCAGCATCTCTTATTCTGGACATTTAGAGTGTGCCAATTGAAACCATGCCAATCAGATTTTAAGTGCCAGAGCTAAGTGGCTAAAGGTGTCACAGTTTGATCCTTAACAGGGTCTGAAGGATATTTAACATGTGACTGCACACAACTTTTAAAATGTAATAGCTAATGAAATAGATTTCCTTCACTCAATACTTTTTACAGTCCCTGTTCAAGTTTTCTCCATACCTTATTAACCCTTAGATTCTAAGAAAAGTTTTCCCTAAGTTTCATGTTTAATATAAAGGTTGTAGGTGACAAATGCTCCAGGTGTATTAAAAATGGATTTAACCATGACTAAGATTCAGTAAGACTTCATTACAGCTGCAAGTTCTGAAGAAATATATCTTCTGTTTAACAAGCTTTAGTAACAAATGTACTAGTAACTCATGAAGACTGTTATTACTATGTGGGAATCAAAATGGAGATATATGTGTGGGAATCATGATAAATTCACCTACCCGTGGAAATTTTCAGATTCAGTAATGCATGTCTAAGTGAATTAAAACAGCACAAAGATGCTTTGATTGTGCCTACCAAAAGCAAGCAGGTAAACTAGGTTCGACATGATTTTCACATATCAAAGGGTTTTTTTTGTTGGAAATTTTCCATCAGCAACCTATCACAATAGCACTATCTTCAGGAAGGGAAGCAGAGTCCCTATGTGTTAGTATTTGCCTCCAACCAATCATAGAATTGTGTGCAATATATTTTAACCTAATATACTGCTTCCCATAAGGCTGACTGCTTCTATCCATACTTTTCTTAAACAGGGGTTCTCATATAGAACAAAGTAACTGTAGTTTTTCAATTATTGAAGCTGGGTGTGGTGGCACAAGTCTGTAATCCCAGCATTTGAGAGGCTGTTAGGAAGATCACCGAGTTTGAGGCTAGCCTAGAGTAGTGAATTCAAGGCCAGTCTGAACTACATAGCAAGACCTTGTCTCAAAAAAAATTTTTTTGGAAAAGGAACTTTTTATGTAATTCTCTTGTAATACCCTGTATTTTACTCTATGCTTCTAATACCATTATTCTGAGAACACTTAATCAGTGTTGTGGCTTATATCTAGATGTCCCTCCAAAACCTCATATGCTCATAGGTGGGGCTTTGGGAGGTGGCTGGATCATAGGTGTGTGATACTAAATTAGTCCATTAGTTGGTTTACCATAGTTCTAGGTGTGGGTGGCACTAATCAACAGGCTTGTAGCCTGGATGGAGTAAAAAGGGAAAGAAGGCTCTTGCTGCTTCCCAACACACCATGAATTGTTTCTCCTCTGCCATGCCCCTCTGCCTTGAAGTCAGCCAACTATGAACTGAAACCTCTACAAACTGTAAGCCGAAATAAACCTTTCCTCCTTTAAGCTGTAGGTGCTGGGTATTTTGTTTCAGCAAGGAGAAAGTAACTAAGTCAATCAGGTGCCAAATGACATGAGAAAAGATCATCTGGTGAGGCTAGATTTAGAGCATATGGATGAGAATGTAACATTTCCTTTTTTTTTTTTGGTACTGGGGATAGAACTTGGGTCCTTGAGCTTGGCAAAGTAGGCAGCGAAACCACTGAGCTAAATCCCTGGCCCTATTTCCTTCTTTGCCTCAAACTCATGGCCATCCTCCTGCCTAAGCCTCCTGAGTGCTGGGATTACAGGCATGTGCCAACACACCCAGCTACATTTATTTTTATTAATGTAGATCCTGACTGCATTTCCTATATGTTTTAACCACTATAATATGTACATTCTAACATACAAACATGTATTCAGAGCTTAAGATCTTAAGATAGAGGAATTTATGAAATAACCATCCAAGTTTTGCAACCCTGCTCTCAAAGATAACCACTATGATTGTGGGCATTTTTTTCTGCAATTAGCTACACATATATATGTCGGCCACTATCCCATTTTGCTCTGATTTCTTAATAAATAAAAGAACACTTGCCTTTACAGGAAAAATGCAACCAACAAAGTTTGAAAAAGGAAAAACTGAAGAGGCAAAGCAGCATCTGCCACTCCCATTTAGTTGCTTTTCTCTGCACTTAAAAAAATTTTTTTTTTCAGGGAAATGAAAACTGTAGTTTATGTCATATCTTCTTCACCAACAGAGCTGGCTAGAGCACATGTATTATTTGTGAGACATAAATATTACCAAAGTTTCCACCCTAGCATAAACAGTCAAACAGTGAAATTTCTATTTGAAATAAAATGATATCCATACCTTAAAAACCCCACAATCATTAATAGGAACAAAAAAAATAAGTATCTAGGTTACTCTGTTAATTTAAAGGCACACTTTATTATATCCTTTTTTTATTTCTGGCTTTTTGAGACATGGTTTTGCTATGTAGTTCAGGCTGGCCTTGGACTATGTAGCCCAAGCTGGTGTCAAACTCACGGCGATCCTCCTGCCTTTACCTCTCACATGCTGGCGTTATAGGCATGTGCCACCACACCTGGCACTCATTATATTTCTAATGTACTAAAAAGGTAATAAAAATAAAATTAAATAACAAGGTAATAAAGGGCTGGAGATGTACCTCAGTGGTAGAGTGCTTGCCTAGAATGCACAAGGCCCTTGGTACAATTTCCACACTTGATCTTAGCCAAAAGGCTGAGAAGCAATAGGTACAATTTCCAGTAACACACACATACACACAAAAAGGTAAGAGAAACATTTATATTTTCATAAAAGATAATAAAAGCCAAATTACAGCCAATCATTAAAGCTTTTTTTAAAAAAAAAACAACAACAAAATTGCTTCAGGGGCTTTGTCTAAACAAATAATCCAATAGTCTTTCCCACAATGCTCCTAAGGAATCCTCGAAATACTCAACAGTCAAATTAAGATACTGAATAGAGTTTTTCATGTGTTTCTTATAATTTCTCAGGGTCCAATATCTAGTATTTTCACTTCTGGGTAAGAGAAAAAGCATTTTGGTCCATTAATTCACCTACTCGCTCCTGGAGGACATTAACCAACTCTGCTATTACGAAGACATGAGTGTCATCAATATCTTGAATGATGAACTTTTTCCCTAGGGCATTGGATTCATCCAAGTACAGAAGAAACTGTTTCATGGCAGGATCACTGTAGAGTTAAACACACAATTACAAGACATCTTGTGGTTAAACCACACAACAAAGACTTAGGCAATTATGTTTGAGTATATACAATTTTTAGGATAGTTTGTAAAGTTTTGAACTATTTCTCAATTCATCATTTCCTCTCTGCTTCAAGTGGTAATGATTTATAGATACGACTTCATTTTAAGATTGGGAATACAAGTTTAGGAGAAAGAGTGCAATGATAAGATTTCTAAAAAATAATTTGTCACTACCAAGTGAAAAACTAAAAAAAAATTAAAAGATTTGCACTTAATAGGGCCTAAATCACAGCACTCTTAACTAATTTAAAAATAAATTTCCTTATATAAAAAATTGCTATGAAAATTAAAGGAGCTAAATACCAAGGACAGTGTTTGGTTTGCATGAGGTATTCTTTCCCTTTTAAAATTCAGAGCCCCATTAGTCTGAATTATTTGTAATCTTTAACATGTTGATTTTTGGGTGGGGCTAGCTGTGGGTGGCTTGAACCACAGGAGGTACATAGATGATTGTCCCACTGGATGGCTCTTTATTAATTCTATTAGTAAAAAGATCCATTAGATTGCTATTACCAATGGTTCAAGCTGGTAGGACTGTGTTAAAGGAAATCTTAATAAAATGCTTTCAGAATATTAAATTCAAAGGAGATCCAAATTCAATTTTCGTACTTGTGATTTTTAGTGTGCAATGAATAGTTTAGTCAAAGGAAAGAGGAATACAATTTCTTGGTGGGCATTATAGATTTACAAGAATGTGACTTTTTGCTTTTGTTTTTGTTTTTTGAGAAAGGATTTCCCTACGTCCAGGCTGGCCTTGAATTCTCTGTGATCCTCTCGCCTCAGCCTCCTGAGTGCTGGGATTAAGGCGTGCACCACTAGGCCCAGCTTAAGAATGTGACTCATATAAGTATCTTAAATCATGATGAAAGATACTTTTAAAATCTAATCTAAAAAACATGTTTTGCAAAACATGACTATAAAAATAGCAAGTTGCATATAGATTTTTGTAATTCTTACAAAAATGTAATTTTATACAACAATCTTTTCATGTCATGAGGAATGTCAAAATCAACAGCAAAGGTAACAATTTAATCTAAAACAGGCTAAAGTTATTGAAAACAGTACTTTATCTCTTCAAGTGCAAATACAGGTATTAAATGAAGCTATCAAAGGATTTATTTCAAACATTAGAAGAGTAAGGGCCTTGGAGGTGATTTTAGCTTTTACTCGGTGAACTAATTTTAAGGATTACACTGGTGAGAGCAACCAAGAAGCAAGGGTAGAAACAGGGAAACCAATTAAGTGACTGTGGTAATCCAAAATAGAGAAAATAATGATTTGGACTTGTAGTATTAGTGGAGATGAAATGTGACTAAATTCTAGATACATGTTTACAAAAAGCTAACATTAGAGAATCTTTTTTTTTTTTGGTACTGGGGATCGAACTTGGGACCTTCCAATTTTAAGGCAGGTGGCAGAACCACTGAGCTAAATCCTCAGCCCAACAAAAAGCTATCATATACTCCATACTTTCAGGGAGAATGCCTTATATAAATGGAGAAGATACAATGCTTTCTCCTTAAGGTGGGGAACAAGGGCAGATATGCTTACTCTTT